TACAGCAGGCACTTGGCCAGACATATTAACTTCTCATCAGTGCTAATAAGCCAGACAGGTTTGATCTGGGTAGGGCACTAAGTGATATGATTCAAAAAGTCATTGACGTCATGATGCCAGGTAGGGCTGGCATTGTGGTAGTAGCGTGTGATTACATAAAGGCTGGAATTTTTTGCTGAAATGTTGTTGTTTTTTTGCATTGGTAAGGACTGTTTTATTCACATATGAGAATGATATATAAAAAATGTCTCAAACATAATGATGAAAGCTTTCTGACATTTACACTTGGCCAGCATGCCTGCAATTACCCATGTTTCAATTGATTGCATATTTTTAAAGCTATGCAATTGTTTTTATTAATTTAATTAAAATATGCCAAAAAAACAACAACAAAAAACCTATATATATATATATATATATATATAGCCACATTTATAGTTTTAAAAAATTGAATAAAAGAAAAATAAAATATTATATGAATTAATCAAATGTATAAAAGGTGATTTATTTATTTATTTTTTATCTTTGAAAATTGTATTATTCCTTTTTATTCATTCACCAAAAGGGTTTGAACACTAAATTCTCAATTGAAATCACATTTTAATTGTATGTATCGTATATTAAGTAGCATTTTCTAACAAAATAAATCTAAAATGCTGTATGGTTTAGGACAATATTTAATAAAGCTTTAATTCACTGAATTGACCATTAGTGATTTCATTTTAATTATTTGCCTGTCTCTGCTGGATATTTTTATTGCGTAGTGTGACAATGGATTCACACGTTCCTGATGTTTACTCCAAATTATGATCATCTGAAGTGCTACAATTCATATGTTACAGCAGAAATCAGAATTTGTCAAATCAGACAATCTATTTCCAAAAGTCTGTTTTCCAGCTTTGGTTTGCCTGTGTCATGCAGAAAATATATCCTTATTTATCTGGGGTCACCACAGTAAAATGAACCGCCAACTATTCCAGCATATGTTTTACACAGGAAATGCCATTCCAGCTGCAACCTCGTACTGTTTAAGGAGACATGGAAAATGTGCAGAGCTGGTGGTCCTCCACGAACGTGGTGGATAAACACTGATGTAGAATATAGTTGACATCAAATAGCCTTGGTGTGAAAATTTTGTTGTGATTGTTTTTTTTAAATTTTTCAATCAAGTGAAGTTTAATAGAGCGAGGAAATTTTCTTTCTTTCTTTCATTCTTTCTTTCTTTCTTTCTTTCTTTCCTTTTCTTTCTTTCTTTTTCTTTTCTTTCCTTTTTTATTTCATTCTTTTCTTTCTTTCTTTCTTTCCTTCTTTCTTTTCTTGTTTTTTTCCTTTTCTTTTCTTTCTTTTTTATTTCATTCTTTCTTTCTTTCCTTCTTTCTTTTTTCTTCTCGTTTTTTTCTTTTCTTTCCTTTTTTCTTTCTTTCTTTCTTTCTTTCTTTCTTTCTTTCTTTTCTTTATTTTTTCTTTCCTTTCCTCTTTCTTTTTCTTTCATTCTTTCTTTTCTCTTTATTTCTTTCTCTTTCTTTTCTTTCTTTCTTTTCTTCATTTCTATCTAAAATACACTTAATTGACTAAGTACACTTCATTCATCAAGGATATACACATGAATAAACTTTTAAAATCAAAAGTTATTTCTATTGTGGCCCTTGTTGTGAAGTGTAGATCATACTACCGATAACAGGTACACTGTAACACTACATTATAAAAATAAATACAACTACAACCACAAAAAAAAAAAACATTAAAACATTCTGTAAAATCCATCAACATCCTATACTGCTTAAGAGCCAGCTTTTAGAACTAAAACTAACCGCATTTGTAATACGTTTAATATAATATTATACCATTTTTTATATCATTTATATCATTTATATAACTTAATATTACTTCCTATAATGTTTTTTTTCTTATGGAGAAGCCCTTTTTTTCATGTCTGGTTGTAAAAAAAAAAGCAGCTGTAATTAAAAAACAAAACTATTTTAGGGTCAAAATTATTAGCTTTTATTTGTCTTTTATCCAATAACTTAAAGACTGTAACCAATAATTTTGACTGTAAACACACATTATATTTTACAATGCATGTAAAGTTCTACTTGACACAGTATAGCACTCAAGCATGTTAAATCTAGCCAGGTCGTGCTCACACAGGTAATCCACTAACGTACTCTACTATCTGTCAATCCTCCGGCTGTATTTTTAGCTCTCAGGTAAAAGAGTGGTGACTCACAATTCAGTCCTGAAGGTGTCCTTGCTTAATATGGCCCTTCTCAAGTCCTCACCAGGAAACTTGGCTCAATTTTTTTGCTCTGGAGAGACGACTCTATTTATTTCTTTAAGGAATGAGAGGTTATTTTTCCCCCTGCCATTTCCAGATAGATGCCTAACAGCTTTTTATGTGCACATGCAGGGATTAATCCTTTGAAGGAGGCAATGTTTACAAGTCCAAATGCCACATCTGTTGGTTTAAAGGACACGATACAGACACAATTGAGGGGACAGCACGGTCGTCCACCTTTTGAACATTCGATTTAGGCAGACTGAGTCCAGACAGAGGCCAGTCTGTCTATAGATTGCACCAGACAGGGTTTTAAATGCTTCGCTTTGATGTGAGCTTGACTTTTTCCACCTTTGATGGAGAGTGAAGTTAAAGTTAGGAGAAGAGCGTGCAGCTGAAGATCTGATTGTGTTTTATGATAACATGGAGATTACCTCTGTTCAAGCTTGCTGTGGTTTCTTTTGACTTGCTTAAGTGTACCAGCCACTGGTTTAAGGACAAGACTTTTTTTTAAAGAATTATTTATCAGATTTTTATGACAGTTAAACAAGGGTAAAAGAGAAAGTAACTGTACAAATAGAAAAAAAAAATTAAATGTATAACCGAGCAGGGGCGTCACGGTGGCTCAGTGGGTAGTACTGTGGCCTTACAGCAAGAAGGTCACTGGTTTGAGTCCTGGCTGGGTCAGTTGGCATTCCTGTGTGAAGTTTGCATGTTCTCCCCATGTTTGTGTGGGTTTCCTCCAGGTGATCTGCTTTACCCACACTCCAAAGATGTGCTAAAGGTGAATTGAATAAACTAAATTGGCCTTATTGTGTGTATGAATGAGAGTGTGTGGTATTTCCCAGTACTGTGTGGTGGCTGGAAGGGCATCCGCTGCATAAAACATATTCCAGAACAATTGGCGGTTCATACCGCTGTGGCGACCTTTGATAAATAAGGGACTTAACCTAAGGAAAATTAATGATTAAACGGTACAAAAAATAATAAAAACAACAACAAATACACCACACTATATCACATATATTGTACAGCAAACAATATATGATGTGCGTATAACCATGACAAATTAAGCGTATAAAAGGGTCAGTACTGAAATTTTGACAGCATGGTGTATTCAGTAAAATAGATAATTACAATAAAATAAAAAAGACAAATTTAAAAGAGAGAGAGAAAATTATTTTGAAGTGAGTAGGCTGGCGGGTGCCTGTTCGTCAAACTTATAGTTTTATTGAAGTAAGGTTTTGTGCTTTATCAGCACTAGTTCTGATCTGGAAGGTACAGACTAAAAGTGCAAGATGGGCAACCATTCACACTACAGTACCTGCTTCCAGTCTCAGAGATTTAACATGCTCCAAAAATGGCAACCAAATGTTATAAAATGTAACCACTAAACCAAGACTATTTTTTTTTCTAGTTTAACCAAATATAAGGTGCCTTTAATCCATTGAGTATAGGATGGGGGTTGAGGAGACTTAAAGTGCAACAAAATACACTGCCAGGCTAATAATGAGAGAAAAGCTGTTAATTCAGTCAAGTAAAATGGTAACTCGGGACAAGACTTTTAAAATGAATTTTCATTTTGAATTTGGAATCTGTGCTCGCAGAAAACCACAGGATATGCAGCCCATCATTGAATCCATTTGTGTAAACGTTTATTTGTTTTTCATATTAATTTTAGTTATATTATTGAGTAATATACAAATGTTATAGCATATAATATGCAAACAGTTATAGTAAAGTACTATTTGCTGCCTTTTAGAAGATATTTGAACCCTTTTATTATGACGCATTTAACGATCAGCCGCATCTTAATTTTTTGAATGACTTTAATATTTAATTTTTTCAAAAACGTTTGAACATTTATATGTATTTATGTATGTATTATATCATTTTTGCATCAAATGACAAAAAACGAGTTACCGCTTGTGCAAGGTGTTTTTTACACAGCGTCTATGGGGGAAGGCAGTAAATGGACAGTTGATGTTGTTCCCTCTTCTGGCTGCTGTTATAACACAATGTTTTTCCATTTTCTGAAAGTCCTAATAACACAATCATTGAGTTTTTCTTTCATTATTTCAGCAAATAAGATTGTAAAAAATGTTTTTGTTGTATTCTCCCATTCACTGCGCTCCACATTTACCCTACTGTGGTAATTTCGACTACTGAGAAACCCAGAAATGGGGTCCATTGTAGGAAAGGCTTTCATTTTTTACCAAAAAAATAAATAAAAAATAGTAATTGTATTAGCATGGTCGACATTATAACATTTATTTCATATTGTAAAGGCATAGTTCAGCCAAAAATTTTAATTCTGCAATCATCTACTCTCCCTTGTTAAGGTGTTTAATGTGTTTTTTGTTTTGTTGAACAGTAAAGAAGATTTTTTAAAGATTGTTGGAAACCATCGACTTTCAGAGTTGGAAAAACAAATGTTATGGAAGCCAATAATTGAATATATGCAACATTTTTCTAAATTTCTTCTTTTGTGTTCAACAGAACAATAAAAAAAATACTAAACTGGTTTGAAACGAGTCAATGGAGAGTAGATAATGGCAGATTATTCATTTTAGGAGTTATCCCTTTAAGTTTTTAGTATCTAAACTCTCACAATCATTCCTCAAAATCCACAGACATTTATAAAAACATTCTGTGCAGAAATAGCAAAAAATGTCTGAACTTTTTGTGGACCATTCTCATGCTCTTTCTATTTTTATTCCCACAGAAATCCGAGTGTCCGTCTGCATTCTCTCAGTGGACCCACCATGAGGATGGGGTGATTTGTTCGTGTTTTACTTCACAACATTAAACCCAAGTCCGATGTCTAAAGACCTGGATTCCAAACCGTACTTGTTCTCCTCCTTGGAGGGGCAGGACGGAGCAATCGGCTGCAGCTCAATGGCGACGCTTCATCGTATGGCCAGTTTCGCAGAAGGCACTGAACTGGGCCTGGCATCTGAAGGCAGCGACAGCAGCCAGGACCGTCCAACCTCGGGCCACAACACCCGGAAGATGAGTCATTCCCTACATGAGGATGTGGAGATGAAGAGTAGCAGCGGGTCCAGCGGGAGCGGAACAGAGTCTCATGGCAATGAGTCTCATGGTAATGAATCCCACGGAAATGAATCTCATGGCAATGAGTCTTCTGGGAGTTCCAATAGCCGAAGCAAGGACTCAGCACTACTGGTGTCATCGGGAAGCAACAAGAGGTAATTTGTGATTTTCAGTAAGACTAAATAGTATTTGAACACGGTCATCAAGGCAGAGTAAGCATAAGGATGCTCTCTGTTTTGCATAGTATGGTATCTTTTGGTTTATGAGCATAACTAGCAAACTTCTTTAAAAAAAGTCAGCTTGTGTCGCCTGATTTTGTAATTCAATGGCAATCATGACAAACAGTTGAGACCTGATGGCTTATTTTGGTTCATTTTATTAAATTTTTTATTGTATTTTATTTAATGTGTCGCTATGGTATATATTTAGTTTTGTTAGTAAGCCATATCCTTTCCTTTTTATGTCAGTGTTATTTTTAGTATTAATTATGAATTGTATTAATTGTTAACGTTTTTTATTTTATTTAAATTTAAATTTAAATTAATCATTTTATTTTATTTAATTTTTATGTGGCCTTTTTATTAAATTTATTTTATGTTAATTTTATTTAATTTTTATATGGCCATTTCAATATATTTTATTTTAATAGAGCAATGCAGTTTTGTTATCAAGCCATATTTTTCTTTTTTTATACCACTGTTATTTATTAGTTTTATCTATGCTTTTAATTAATAGTTTACATTTAGGTGTGTTTTTTTATTTTTATTTAATATTATTCTTAAACTAATATTCAAAAACTTATTTCTTGAGCTGCATTTAACCAAGAATATAATAGACTGTTTTCATGTAATTTTACAGCATGTTAGACAGTGTAACAATGACTAAACCATTAGTTATTTCCTTTTCTTGCCAATGACAGTCAAGCCAATTAGTTGACGTCAAAACCCAAGAGAATAATAGACTCAGTAAAGTTTTTAACAGTGTTCTTTTTTAAACATGTCTACAATTTGAGATGCTTTTCTCTACAACATCAATTAGTCACACTCCGAGTGAAACCACTTTATTATACTCATTATAATCTTATAGGTAATCCTTGAAGGACTCACTGGTTGATTAGTCCTCCGGGTTTTAATATCATTCCACTATTGAAAACACATTGTGCAACTTAAGATTGTTGATGTAATTGTGATGCTTTGGATACTTGGATACATGGAAAGTTTAATATAATAGCATTAGTTTGTCTTTCAATTAATTTAGATCAAAACATTTGAATACAATATTGGAAAAACTGACACCGAATTTCTCAAGATGACCTAAAAGCTTTATAAGTAAATAATAAATTATAATTGTACATTCAGGAGTTCACACTTAGATATTGCTTGATTATATAGCAGGTTTGGCATGGTGTCCCAGGAGAGGATTCTGGGCTCGGAGATAATTGAGCCCAGGGCTCCTGCCTGGTCAATGAGTATCTAAGGTGGTACAAGATCAGGTAGTTCTTGAGAGCTCCTCCTGGAAAAGGGGGTGATGGGGTGGATTGGGGATTCTTCAAAAAATTAAGATAAAGGAGTAATGCTAAACTGGCTATTCATAGTGAGTTTGGAACAATCCGATTGACTCACTAATGATTGCAGATGAGAGACCAGCTGCGATCAATCATATCACATGCTCCTTTCGAAATTAGTTTGAGAAACGTCACTCATTTGGGATGATTTTGAAGTGGAGTCCATCTGCATAAAATATAGAAAAATATGCACTGAATTAACAAATTAAAGCACAGACAAAAATAATGGAACAAAGATAAAAATTAAATAAATAGATAGTGCTTCATGTTTTTTAGTGGAGTCTACTAATGTTGAGATACAGATATTAAATGTAAAATATGTAAATATTGTCATTGCAGATTCCCATATTGTGTTATCAATGCAAAAACGATATATTGTGCTGCCTATTATTAACTCAGACAGAAAAAAACCCTAGCAACAACCAAACTACAAGTGCAAACACAACCTTAGGCTTTCCCTTATTAAGTTCATATTAATTATAATCCCAAAGAAATCTAAAGAAAAGTATATTGCTTATTTAGGTAGTAAACTAAATATTTATTGCACAATTCTGGACGTCAACACTGAGTATTTTTGTTTTTCAGTTTTAAACAGTATTGGCTGTTGTACTCACATGCAGGCAGATTGACGTCAGGAGGTTGCATGCAGACACTTTTTGTTCAACAATTTGTTTAACGATTAAAGCACTCTGGGATTGTTTTGGTTTGCTGGTTGATGGTAAACTATGTTGTTTGAATGTGCATTCATCCACTTTGGTGTGTCTTTGTGTCTGACGTCATTTCAAGCCTCGCTTCTCACCTACTGCTTTCCGGGGTAAGCGTAAGGTCACTGGAAACTATTGTGCCACAAAGGCATGTATTGAAATGTGGATGCACGCACATGCCAGGATAATTGCTGGATTTAGAGCTTAGATTTTCTCTGTAAAGTCTGTATCTTTTTAATTTATTCAGTTGCCAGGCTGGACCGGATCTGCAGGGTTTATTCATATTTTCTACCTCTGATTTTATTAAGAGGGGGATGGATTTAAGTTGTAAAAATCTGTTTAATGAAGTTGAAACTACAACTGATGAATGTAAACATTTTCAAAATGGCTGATAGATAGATAGATAGATAGATAGATAGATAGATAGATAGATAGATAGATAGATAGATAGATAGATAGATAGATAGATAGATAGATAGATAGATTGATTGATTGATTGATTGATTGATTGATTGATTTAAAATGACTGATACAATGATGACCACATTCTTCTGTTTGTTCAATTTCTATACTTTCAATTCAGTACTGCTGGACTCTTCTTAACTGCATAGAAAAAAACATTATCCTCCCGGTCGATGTAAATTAATAATAAATCTTTCCAAATTGAGCTATTCAAATCTTCAGGTGAAACTATAGTCATATCGTAGCAAAACAAAATATGTTAATGTCGGATTTTACCAGTATCTTGCAGCCTTAATAGATGGATGGTCGAACGGATGGATGGAATGAAGGAGATGGATGGATGGATCGATAGTAGTCACATCACATGATTCGATTATTTATTAAAGATTAAAAGATAAAGATTATTATTTAAATGATTTATTTAAAGATATTATTAAATCTTATTTAAAAAAATGACTGATACAATAATGACCATGTTGTTTTATGTTTGTTCAATTTCTATACTTTTAATTCAGTACTGCTGGACTCTCCTTAACTGCATAGGAAAAAAAACATTATCCTCCCGGTAGATGTAAATTAATAATAAATCTTTCCAAATTGAGCTATTCAAATCTTCAGGTGAAATTATAGTCATATCGTAGCAAAACAAAATATGTTAATGTCGGATTTTACCAATATCTTGCAGCCTTAATAGATAGATGGATGGATGGAATGAAGGAGATGCATGGATGGATGAATGGATGGATGGATGGATAGATGGATAGATAGAACGTTCAATAGATAGATAGATGGATAAATAGAACGTTTAATAGATAGATGCATGGATGGATGGATCAAGGGATAGATGGAGGGATAGAAGGAGGGATAGAAGAATAGGCTGGATAAGTTGGTGGTTTATACCTCTGTGGCGAACCTTGATGAATAAAGGGAGTAAAACTGCGAGCAGAACTAATGTATTCCTGGGACATTGGTCTCTTTGTATTTGATAGAGATTCGGTCACCTGTTTCTCCACATGCTGCAGGTGAAGTGTGTTTATGATTCATTCAAAACCAGTGTGTGCAACATTTTGTTCATTTTCCTCCATCTGTGCTCCTCCATTAATGGGATTCTTCCATCAGGAGGTTTTCAAGAGGTTTAAAAATAGTGCCATGATGATGGTAGTTGCCATAGCAGACCTTCAAGAAACTGGCAGTGGGAGCATTAATACTTCATGTTTCCACAGTGAAGAGTTGTTGAGATATCTCAACAACATCATTGTGTTCCTTTTTTCGGAATTGATTTTGTCATTCAAACGTGAAGTTAACAAGAGTTATATTCAGTGTTTCAGTGTTATATTCAGTTTATATATATATAGGAATATGTTTACCTGCAGGACCAGAAATGGCTGTTTTATTTTATCTTATTTTTTATTTTATGTTTTTTTTTTTTTTATTTAATCTAATTTTTTTTTATTTTATTATTTATTATTTTATTATTAAATTTTATTTAATTTTATCTTATTTTATTATGTATTGTTTTATTTTATACTTTTATCTAATATTTTTATTTTATTATGTGATTTTATTATTTTATCTTATTTTATTTTATTTTTTTTATTTCATTTTATTATTTTATCTTAATTAAATTAATTTATTTTATTTTATCTTATTTTAATATTTTATATATTTTTTATTATTTTATCTGTATTTTATATTATTTTTCATATTTTATTTTATTTTATTTTTTTTAGATTTTTTTATTTTTTTATTATTTTTATTTTATTATTTTATCTTATTTTATTTTTTCTTATTTTAACTTCTTATTTTATTATTTTTTATTTGATTTTATTATTTTATCTTTTATTTTTTCTTTAATTTATTACCTTTTTTACATTATTTTGTTATATTATTTTTTATTCTCTTATATTATTTTTATTAACGTGATTTTTTTTTCATTTATTTTAATATCAGTGATATTTATTGATATTTACTATTGCGATTTTTTTTTTTTTTTTTTTTTTTTTTTTTAAGAAAAAAATCTATTTTAATTTCATTTATTTTAGTTAATAAAAATCTTATTTTAAAATAATCAAATGCTCTTCTTCTTGAGCATCATTCAAACAAGGATAAGACAGCATAGTTCATAGTTTCATAGTGTAACCCTGGCTGAACCAGTTATTTCCTTTCCTTTCCTTTTAGAAATGCTTTTCTTTTAATTAATTTAAAGTTAGTTAATAAAATGGAATCGAAATTATTTTAGTTAATCTAAATGAGTTCTTATAATAATTATAATAATAATAATTTGGATCATTTGTAAGTCACTTTGGATAAAATGCCTGCTAAACTATTATTATTAGAAATTGTATATTACCTAAAAATATTATAAATCAATTAATCAACAAATAATATTATATTAATCAATATTATTCCTAAGGTTATTAAACAT